AAAAAGACAAAAAGCCTTTATCCAGAGCCAAGAACACGGTTCCCCCCCAAAAAAATCTCCATCCCTAGTGCCTCCCTCCCTCCCCAAAGACCTCAGGACAAACCACCCAGGCACCTCTCTGCCTTTAACTCTGGCACCCAAAGCTCCCACCCAGGAAAGAAAGAGCAGTAGAAAGGTTTCCTTGGGGTTAGCTCTTTGCAAGGATTTTGGGGGACCCCCCAGGGGGCAAAATAGGTTTCTAAGGTTCCTTGCCCACCCCCAGCAAGAGGAAGGGGGCAAAGAGAGCATGAAGAGCCAACTCGGTTTCTTATAGTACCCCTTCCTCTGGCTGGGTGTCCCACTGTCCCCCAAAATGCTTGCAATGAGCAAACCCCCAATTCTTGAAAAAAGCCAAACGCCCTCCTTAGGGGGGCAACCCAAAACTCTTGCAAAGAGCAAACCTTTCCCCCTTTCGGGGGTCCCCCAAAACCCTTGCAGAGAGCAAACCCCAAATTCTTGCCAAGAGCAAAAGCAAACATCCTTTCCAGGGGTTTCCCCCAAATTCTTGCAAGGAGCAAATGTCCCTCCTAAGGGGCTCCCCTAAATTCCTTCAGAACAAATGCCCTCCTTAGGGGGGGGAGTACCCCAAATTCTTGCCAAGAGCAAATGTCCCCCATCCAGTGGGGCCCCCAAAACCATTGCAAAGTGCTAAAATCCCACTCAGGAGGGTCCCCCAAAATCTTTGCAAATAGCCAACATCCCTCCCAGGGGGGTCCCCCCAAAATCCTTGCCTAGAGCAAACCCCGATTTCTTTGCAAAGGCCCAACGTCCACCCTTAAGGAGGGGTCCCCCCCAAATCCTTTCCAAGAGCCAGTCCCCCTTAAGGGGGTCCCCCAAAACCTTGCATAGAAGAAGGTCCAAGGACCTGAGGGAGGGGGTGCCACCCCCCCCAAAAAAAAAGCCCCCTCCTTTCCCTGCTGACCAGGTAGGCTCCGACGGTGCCCTGGGCGAGCATGAGGGCGCACTCGGAGGCCAGGAAGATCTGGATGCTGGCCAAGCGGCCCCCGCCGCCTTCCTCCTCCTCCTCTTCCTCTTCCTCCTTCTTCTTCCTCCTCTTCTTCCCTCCTCCGCTGCGCTGCTCCTGGTCCTGGTCCTGGTCCTGGTCCTGGTCCTGGGGCAGGTGCCCTCTTCCTCTTCCTCCTCCGCGGGGCTTCTTCCCGGGCATCCTCCGGCGCTGCCTCCGAGGGGCCCCGGTCTACCTGGCGGAGGCCGGGCTCAATCAGGCGCCCAAGAAGGGGAGCCTCCTCCGGGGCTGCGGCTGCTGCGAGGATGGAGGAGGAGGAGGAGGCGTCCCGGTCCCGGTCCCGGTCCCGGTCCCTCCTGGCCTCCGAGGGGCTCCTCCTGCTGCCGCCTCCATGGCGCTCCTGGGCTCCTCGCCTTCGCCTTCGCCTTCGCCGCCGGTGCAGAGCTGGCCTTCCTCCTCCTCCTCCTCCTCCTCCTCCTTCCTGGGATGCTCAGGCTGGGAGGGAAGGGAAAGAGAAGGGTCCTCCCTCTTGGGAAGGAGGGAGGGATGGAGAGGAGAGGAGAGGAAGGAGGCCGAAGAGAAGAGAATGGAATGGTTCCCAGTTGGCAAAGGGCTCAGGCAAGGCTGCATCCTCTCTCTTCAACTTGTAGGCAGAACATATTGTAAGAAAAGCAGGCTTGGACGCAGAAGGAGGAGGAGTGATAACAGGAGGAAGGATTATCAACCACCTAAGGTATGCAGATGACACCAGAATACTAGCAGAAAACATCACAGGCCTGTCTGTTCAACATGTAGGCAGAACATATTGTAAGGAAAGCAGGCTCAGACACAGAAGAAGGAAGAGTGATAACAGGAGGAAGGATTATCAACCATGTAAGATATGCAGATGACATCATACTACTAGCAAAAAACCTGACAGACCTATCTGTCCAACTTGTAGGCAGAACATATTGTAAGGAAAGCAGGCTCGGACACAGAAGAAAGAGGAGTGGAAATAGGAGGAAGGGATATCAACCATCTAAGATATGCAGATGGCACCATACTACTAGCAAAAAGCTTCACAGACCTATCTGTCCAACTTGTAGGCAGAACATATTGTAAAGGAAGCAGGCTTGGACACTGAAGGAGGAGGAGTGGAAATAGGAGGAAAGAATATCAACCATCTAAGGTATGCAGACGACATCACACTACTAGCAGAAAACATCAAAGGTTTGAAAGAGTTACTAAGGAAGGTTGAAGAAGAAAGTGCAAAGGCAGGCTTTCTGCTGAACATATCGGGGTCATTCAGATATCTTTTTTTTAGCACAACGATGTGAATCATCTCACACACTCTGGGTTTGTTATTCAAACTATGGAACCACATCAATCCATATGTCTTTAAATTCGGCTACTCACACGTTGCTGACATGTGCAAGTCAAATAAAGATGCAGTTAACAATATGAATGTATTCAGGACATGTTCAAGGCTTGCAGTGTTTTATCCTGGGTCTGTTCAGGTCTATTTGCATTGGTTATTCACACTACCGATGATGAGGATTTTTTAAAAAAACTCAGGGAAAATGCCAATAAAAAACCCCCTCCCCCCAAAAAAAGTAAAAGGGTGCATTTGAGATGGGTGTGAACAATAATTCAATCCAGATTCATTCTATATTATTTTCATAGTGTGAATAACCCCAAAGAAAACAAAAATAATGACCATGGAGGATCGACGTAAATTCAACCTAGACAAGACAAGGAAATCAAAATAAAGATTTTCCCATACCTTTGGTCAAAAATTGAAACCCACTGAATAACCTTG